CACCACCTGAACGCAAAGTCCATGAGCAGCTGCCCCCACACCACAGCACCGTGGGACCGGGTCCCACACAATGGCCCTGTGTTCCCTCTTGGCCACTTGGCAGAGGAGCCCATCTATGCAAGTCCCACCGGGATGTCACCGGGACGCCGGCGGAGACCCAGGGAATGACCCGCAGCTGGCCCGAAAGAGCCTCAGAGGTCCCAGCTGCCGTCTTCCCCCACGTCCCACAACAAGGACCCCCTTCTTCTCCCTCCTTTGGTCCCCTGGCCCCGAACAGGCTTAGAGAGGAAGACCAGACGGCAGATGAGCACGCCTTTACAAAAACTGCTGGAAGAGGGTCCCCGGGCCCTCCCCCTGTCGCTCAGGTCGGCTCCTCATCACTTCCCCCGGAGCCTCCGCAAGCAACACCGTGACCACTGCCCATAACAATACAGACACCCGCCCCCCACTGCGGGCCTGCCTGCCTCCAGACGAGGAATCCTGATCCAGTAGCCCAGAGGAGCTCCTACCTGGGGCCCCACTTGGGGGAAAGCTTGGCTGAGGTGGGGGGCACAGGCCAGGCCCTACAGGGTTGACATCTGAAGGAGGCGGGGCCGCGTCCGCGCCAGGCAGGGTCTCGGTCTCGGCTGGAGTTGTGGTCGCTCTGCCCTGGGAGCTCTGAGGGGCAGCCCCAGTAGGGTTGGACCCCCGATGCTGGGTGAGCCACGGGGCCATCTCCTTGTCCCATGTCCATTTGACTGCCAGCGCACTGTCCAGCAAAAGAGCCCCGCAGCTGGAGTCGGCGTCCATGGTATAGTCGTGGCCTTGGTCACAGCCCCACACGGCTTGGATAACACCGCAGTACTCGGAGGACAGTGTCCTCTGGAGGCTAGGCAGGGCCCCGCAGCTGGCTGCGTGTCCGTGCACCCAGGCCACCAAGTCGCGCAGGCCCTGGGGGCTCGAAGTGATCAGGTCCACTGAGGAAAGGCACAGAGACGCCACACCCATGGCCGGTCAGCACCCAGCCCACCTCGAGCCTAACCCACAGACCACACGCCGAGGGCACACTCACCCAGACACGCTCCCTCCTCTGCCCCTGGCGGGGGCTGGGCACCGACCCTGTAAAGCATCGGCATGGCCGTGAGCGGGGCTGGCCGTGAACAAGATGCAGGTTCACCAGACTCCTGTCAGGGGCCGCCTCTCCCACATGCAGTCTGACCTTCTACTTCCAGAGGCTGTCCCCTTACACCCACGGCCCTCTGTAGCCCTCACCTCCCCCGAGCACGTCTGTCCGTCTCCCTCACACCAGCCACGCTGGTGGTCACCCGTGTCTGCTGCCCTAAGCAGGACCGGCTCCCCGCTGCAGAGGTTCCCCGGCGCTCACTGGGCCTAGACCAGCCCCGGCACACAGGGTGCCTGGCCCCTGAATGCCCACCAAATGAAAGGAGGAGGGGATGCCTACTTCGTGCAAGTCTTCCGGTGGCCCGCCGGGGAGACGTTGACTCTCTGCAGGAAGGACTTGAGGAGGCCGTGGCACTGGTAGAACTGGGCGTGGCAGTTCTTGCAGACAAACTGAGACAGAGCCGGGTCCTGGTGGACAGCCACCCCCAGCAGGTGCTGGAAGTCCCTGATGAAAACACGCTCCCCTGGGGGTGGTCTGTCTGCGCTCTCCCCAGGTGCCCTGCCAGAAATGCTGCGGAGACTCCGTGAGGAGAACTTCCCGTGGCAGAGGCGACAGTGCCCCATGGCAAGAGCCCGGCCTGTTCCTGGGCAAGCACAGAAGACACCGAGTCAGGCAGGGCTGCTGGCTGCACAGAGCACCGGAAGACACGTGCTCCTCGGAAGACAGCAACGTGGCCTGGGGAGGTGAGGCCCAGGATCTGCCATCCTCCCAGTCCTTGAGGGGGAAGAACCCTCCACGGCACTTCCCCAGACGCATCCCAGAAACACAAGCCCACGTCTGGGCCAAAGGTGGGGCTTTGGGCTCTGGGCTCTGGGCTCCCAGCTGAACATACAGCCTTTTGGGAGATACGGTCAGTGGAGGGTCTTCTGGTCCGGAACACCTTCCAGATAATTCTAAGTGTGTCTAGAACAAGGCCACAATTACTCTAATAACAAAACCAGACAGAGACACCACGAGAAAATTACAAGCCAAGATCCCTGATGAATACGGCTGCAAAAATCCTCAGCAAAACATCAGCCAACCAAACGCAACAATACTTTAAAAGGCTCACATGACATGATCCAGTGGGACTTATTCCAGGGGCGCAAGGATGGTCCAACATCCACGTATCAACCAACGTGACACAGTAACAAAATGAAGGATTAAAATCTTGAGCATCTCAATAGATGCAGAAAAAGTGTCTGACAAAATGCAATGCCCATTCACGATTAAAATTCTGAACAAACTGGGTATAGAGAGAATGTACCTCAACGTAATAAAGGCCACAGATAAGCCCACGGGTAACATCATACTCACAGGTGAGAGCTCTCCTCTCAGATGAGGAACAAGATAAGGGTGCTCACTCTCACCATTTTTATTCAACACAGTGTCAGAAGTCCTGGCCAGAGCAATGAACCAAGAAAAATAAAAAATATCCAAATAAGTAAAAAAGGAAAAAAAAAACTGTCTCTGTTTGTAGATAATATGGTATTATATACGGAAAACCCTAAAGACGTCACCAAGAGATTCTAAGAATAAACAAACTCGATGAAGTTGCAGGACACAAAATCAATAATGAACTATCAGAAAAACAAATCAAGAAAAGTCTCATTTACAACTGCATCAAAAGGAATAAAATACCTAGGAATGAATTTAACCAGGGAGGTGAAAAACCTTATGCTGAAAAGTGTAAGACACTGATGAAAAACAGTGAAGACATGAATAAATGAGTATTCCATGCTCGTGGATTAGGAGAATTAATACTGCTAAAATGTTCACGCTACCCAAAGCCATCTACACATCCAATGCAATCTTGATCAAAATTCCAGTGACGGTTTCCCAGAAACACAACAATCTTAAAATTTATATGAAACCACAAAAGATGCCAAATCGCCAAAGTAATCTTGAGAAAAAAGAGCAAAGCTGGAAGCATCATACTTCTTGATTTCAAACTATATTACAAAACCACAGTAATCAAAACAGTAGAGAACGAACATAAAAAAAAAGACACACAGGTTGACGGAACAGAAAAGACAGCCCAGAAATAAACTCATACGTATGTGTGGTCGATTAATTTACAACAAAGGAATCAAGAATATATAATGGGGAAATGACATTCTCTCTAAAAAATGGGTGTTGGGAAAACTAGACACGCACATGCAAAAGAATGAAATTTGATCCCCATTACTTAAACCACAAACCAAAATAAACTCAAAATGGATTAAAGACCTAAATGTGAGACCGAAAACCATAAAGCTCCCAGAAGAAAACACAGGCAGTAAACTCCTCATCGGTCTTGGGGATCATTTTTTGGATTTGACACCGAAAACAAAGTCAACGAAAGCAAAAAAAATAAACAAGTGGGACTACGTCAAACTAGAAAGCTTCTGCACTGCAAAGAAAACCATCAACAAGATGAAAAAACAACCTACTGAAAATAGGGAAACCTGAGAAATACTGAAACCTGAAAAAATATCTGCCTATCGTATCCAAGGAACTAATATCTAAAACAAAAAAGACTGACACAGCTCCAAAGCAAAAACACGATCCAATTAAAAACCAGGCAGCAGACGTACAGTCATTCTTCCAGAGAAGACACACATACAGCCGGCCAACCAGCAGGCGAACGAGCCCAGGTGTGCGGCCGAGCGCTCAGCACCACTGCTCGTCAGGCAGATGCAAACCAAAACCACAATGAGCTGTCACTTCACGCCTCTCAGGATGGCCGTCACCAAAAAGACAAGAAACGACGAGTGTCGTGGGGATGTGGAGAAAAGGCAACCTTCGGGCACTGCCGGTGGGAACATAAACTGGTGCAGCCTCTATGGAAAACGGTATGGAAGCTCCTCAAAAAAATTAATGAAACCACCATTTGAACCAACAATTCCAGCTCTGGGTATTTATCCAAAGGAAATGAAAACACGAGCTCAAAAAGGTAGGTGCGCTCCCGTTTTCACAGCAGCATTATTTACAACAGCCAAGGTGCGGGAACAATCTAAGTGTCCACTGACTGAGAAACAGGTTTAAACAAGCCGGGGGGTGTGTATACACACACACTCACACAATGGAATGTTACTCAGCCATAAGAAAGAAGAAAATCCTGCCACTTGGGACAACACGGATGGACCCTGAAGGTACTACGTTAAGTGAAAGACGTCACACAGGAAAAGATAAATACCATACAATTTCACTTATAGGTGTAATCCTAAAAAAAAACAAAAAAAACCCAAACTCACAGAGAGCAGACTGGTGATAGCCTGAGGTGGGTGGTGGGGAGGGTGCGGGACGGGATGCAGACGATGGAGGAAAATGGTCAAAAGGTACAAATTTCCAGGGCGCCCGAGCGGCTCAGTCGGGTAAGCATCCGACTTCGGCTCGGGTCACGATCTCGCGGTTCGCGGGTTCGAGCCCCGCATCGGGCTCTGTGCTGACAGCTCGGAGCCTGGAGCCCGCTTCGGATTCTGGGTCTCCCCCTCTCTCTGCCCCTCCCCTGCTCGCTCAATCTGTCTCTCTCTCTCCCTAAGATAAACATTTAAAAAAAAAAAAAGGTACAAATTTCCAGTTCTAAGATAAGTCAATCTTGGCGATGCATATCGTACAGCGGGGTGACTACAGTTAATAATACTGCGCTGTTGGGCGCCTGGGGCGCTCAGGTCATGATCTCGCAGTCCGTGGGTTCGAGCCCCACATGGGGCTCTGTGCTGACAGTTCGGAG